CAAGGATTCGACGAGCAGATCGGAGGGGGTCATCACCGAGGGGGAGATCAACGTCATCTTCTCCAACATCGTCGAGATTCTCAACCTCAACCAGATCCTCCTCCAGGTACGTACCCCGCCCTGGTCCCGCCATTTCCCCTCTCCACTGCTCTTCTCTCTTTCTCTCTCTTTCTCTCCCTCCCTATAACGGGGGGGGGTGGCTCACCGGCTTCCCCCGACATCGTGCAACCCGCGTGGGCGCAGGACCTGGAGGAACGAATGAAAACGTGGAACGACAAGACCACCCTCATCGGCGACGTGCTGTGCAAATTCGTACCGCCGCCGCCCGCCCCGCCCGCCCCGCCCCGCCCCGCTACCTCCACCTCACCGGGGGGGGGGGCGTTATTTTGCTGATCTCCTTATTCTCCCTTGCCTCTGTTCCCCCCTGCATGCGTGACGCTAGGTGCCCTACCTGAAGTCCTACATCGTCTACGCCCGCATGAATGAGAAGGCTCAAGGTGGGATGCACGCACACGCACACGCACGACACACACACACACTCCATCCGTCTCTTCCTCTCCTCATTTGCTTGCAAGTCGTTTTTCATTCGTCTTCTCCCTCTCCCTCTCCCCCCCTCCACTCCTCTTGTGTCGTGTCGTGTCGTGTCCGCCAGAGCTGCTCATGACTGTGGAGACCAAGCCGGCCTACTGCGAGTTTGTAAGAGCTGGGAGAAGCTCTCTGATGTGCCGTACCCTTCCCCCCTCCCCATCCCGGCGGCGGCGGCGGCGGCGGCAGCTGCTGCTGGGGTGGCGGCTGGTGGTGTTTGGAAGTGTGGGAGTTCGGGTCGCGGGGGTCGGATGATGATGATGATGACGACGACGACGACGACGACGACGACGTGTTGGTGCCGTGGTTGTGCAGGTGCAGCAGGGAGGCGGGTTGCGTGCGTATCTCATCCTCCCGATCCAGCGGATTCCCCGCTACGAGCTGTTCATCAAGGTGCACCTTGGACCTCCTCCTCCTCTTCCCCCCTCCTCCGGTGCTGGGTGGTACACACCGACGGAGAGGGAGGGAGAGAGAGGGAGAGAGAGGGGGAGAGAGAGGGAGAGAGGGCAGGGCAGGGCACTCATGCATGTTGCGTGGTGCGTGGTGCGTGGCTGGTGGCTGGTGGCTGGTGGGTGGTGCATGCCGGCCAATCGGCGTTGCACAGGATCTGGTGAAGAGCACGGACCCCTCCCATCCCGATTACAACAACTTGAGCAAGG